GTTGACTCAGTTCTGCCGCCGAAGCCCTCCGGCGCCCCCGGGGCCCCACACTGACGACGGCACGGCCACGACGTCGGGAAGGGAGGGCGCGGTGCTACCTGCCCCATGCGCTGCGGCTGCGGGTCTCAAGCGCATTCTCGACGAGCGCCTCACGACAAGGCCACCACCTCTGCGACCCCGCAGGGGGCCGCCAGCCGCCTCGCCGAGAAGCCGGCCGCCCTCTGCCCCTCCGTTGCGCGCAACGCTGCTGCGCCGTTGGGCAGTGGCCTAGCACCAGGGCAGCACCGCGCCTGCAAGAAGGGGTTGGCGCAACGCAGAGATTGCACGCGCAACGCGGTGACTCGACACGCCCCCCCCCCCCCGAGCTCGGCGCAAGAAGCTGCCCAGGGAACACACGAGGTTGAATAACATGTTATGTATCTGGACTTCGGCCTGCTGCAGGCTACGTTCCTATGATCCTAGGGATGCCTGACCGTGAACTTATGGGGCTTCGCAGAGCGCGGCTCGCGGGCTACACGCCAGCCCATCGAGGTTCTTCGCGCACGGCGAAGACATGTCTACATGGAGATCCAGTCTGGCCCCAGGCTACGACACCAGCAAGACAATAGGCCAGTTCTTTGTGGCGAAGTTTGACGACCCCGAATGCCAGTCCATTGGGTTTCCGCGAGCACATGATGTTGCGGAGATCTCTGGAGCCCCTCAATGTGGACTGCGAACTGGAGCCCCACAACTGGAACACCTCCGAAGGACCTGGTCATCGGATGCTCCTGAGCCGTAAATTAGGCTAGGATGGAAGGCCCTCAGTTTCCACCAATGATTAGATGACCTCGGGTGGGCCATCGATGTAATGTACACCTCGCCTGCTATCGTGCCAAGCTTTTTGCAATCAGGAGTGCAAAGATCCCACGAGAGACGGCTCGCGATTACGATCCCCTCCTTCGACGGCGATCGTGCTTCGACCGACCCTCTGCGTGCCCTGCTTCGCTCGAAGCGAACCCCTCCGCGAGCAAAGTATTGGATCAGCACCTGCTTTGATCAGGGCTGCTGGACAGCAGACCGTCTTGCAGCTTCTGGGTATGTTTATGATGGCAAGTGCCCGCTGCGCGGGCAACCCAATTCCGCTGTTCACCGCCAGTGGGTCTGTGCGGACCCCGCAGTGGCTCGTTTGCGCAGCGAGATGGTTTCTCAGGGTATCATCGAGCGGGCGCGAGCTGGTCAACCAGAGGAGCAGGCCTTCTGGTCGCGGCTGGTCATGGCGCAGTCGTCACCAGACACCTGCTCCCCCTCCCCCAGCGGCGATGGATCCTCTTCTCCAAGGCGGCGATGGTGCTCCACCGTCCCTGCAGGACTTTGTGGAACGTAGTGCCAACTGTGATGTAGTGGTTGATGGCTCAGCCTCACAGTGCATAGCGACAGAGCTTAGGAGAGCCAGATTTGCCGCCGTGTTTTTGGAGCCAGGGCCTGAGCAAAAAGTTCGCACCAGGTTGATGGCCCCGATCTGGCCACATATGCATCAGACGCCTCAAGCGGCGGAAAATGTCGGGCTGGCCACTGTTTGCTTGTTCACTTCGGGCTGCAACACCCTACAGTGATTGCAAAGGGGCCGCTCGGTTGCACAACGCGTCGGACCAGACCCAGTTGGGGCCCAAGCAGATGTTTGCGGGTGTGCGCCGAGCGGCGCAGCAAGCTGCTGGATACTACGCTGCAGATCAAGCATGGTACACTCCAGCTCACCGTTCAGAAGAAGTTATCCTGGCGCTTCCTCCCGCCGAGAAGCGTATCGCCTTAGGCAACCAGGATACTGACCGTTTAGCTAATTATGCTCTCTCACTCCACCCTCAAGCTGCACCTGCCGATCTTGAGAGGCTGGATAGTCAGGTGCAGCTCCTCGTTACCTGTGCCAGAATGTTTGGAGCAGTGCTGCCCCCAAAGCTGCCCGTGTGCCACGCGCGCAGCCGCCGCCTAACTGGCACCTGTGGGAGAAGCTAGATTCGGGAACCCGTTTCAGATGCAGCTCGTGTTTCAAGGTCATGTTCGAGGACGGCCAGAGACCCATGAATGGTTGTTTGGGACCTCCAACGGCCCTGAGGCGCCTCCAGGGTGCCGAGTCGGACCGCGGGCACCAGCTGGGTCTCGTCGGTTTGAACCGATCGGGCAAGGTGTTGTTTTCCTGTGTGCGCTGTGGTGCGTATACGAGCCACCGCTGCCATCTCTTGGGCCAACAGTGTGCTAAGGTTCTTGGGCCCTCTGGTGAGAGCACTCTTGATCGCATTGGCCGCGGTCTTCACCCTCACTACAGACGGAACTCAGAGGGTGATAACTCCGTGTCGCGAGCCCTGCCCAAGGCAGTGCTCCTTGCTGTCCCTTCGCCGTCCTCGGCTAGCAATGCAGGACTGATCGATAATGATCGTTTCCGTGCGCTGGCTGACAGGGTTCGGGCGAAGGAGGCAGCTCACGACACTCCATAGTCGTGGACCGTGCTGACGTTTCGGTGTTCCCTGGCGGCCAGTTGCCGGTTCGTCCGAGGCTCGTCGCCAGGGGGGCGGCTTCCGTCGGCAATCATGTCGGCGTCCAGGTACGTTTGACGTTCCGCCTCCAGGTCGTCGCCGCCTCCTCCTCCCCCCTCATCTTGCTCCTCTTGCTCATCTTGCTCCTCTTGCTCCTCCTCATCATCCTTCTCCTCCTTCTCCTCCTCCTCCTCCCCAGCCGCGAAGGCTTCTTAGAAGGAGGCTGCTTCTTAGAAGGTGCGGGCCTCGTCTGCAGATGTAGGGCCCGCGCCTTCTCAGAAACAGCCTGCTTCTAAGAAGCCTTCGCCCCTCCCCCTACCTCCTCGCGCGCGCCGCCAACCCGTGAGACGCCAGCTCTCTCCGCGTGTGGAAAGGGGCAGTTGTGTGCAAACAAACGCAAGCAGGGGCCCTGCCTTGTGGGAGGACCGCACCCAAACTCTCGGGTCGGGCGAAAGGGGGGGATAGCAAAGGGGGGGGGTGAGAATCAGCTCATGTAGCTGATTTTCCCCGCGCCTCCCGGCGCCGGAGGCGGCTATGTATCGAGGAAGGGGCCCCTCGGTGAGGCCAAAACCAGCTGCATGCAGCAAATGTCGTACCCCCCCCTTTCCCAATCCCCCCCTTTCGTCCGGCCCGAAACTCGAGGGAACGCAAACACGAATGACCGACGCGCGGATGAGCGGCGAGGCGCGTTAAGGGTAAACAGTCGGCGCGCTCCGTCGCCACGCCGGGCGGCTCTGGCCTGGCGTGTCGGGGGGGTACCTTCCCCGATCCCTGCTCTCGTGTGCCCGACCAGCGTGCCACCCCCGGCCGAGACCTGCTCCCGGAGGGTCCCACAGGGCTTTTTTTTTCGGGAGGGGGTTCTCCAGAGAGCCCCCCCCAGGGGCCTCGGCACCTCGTCAAAACAGGGGGGTGCGAAGCCCCTGGGGGGACCCCTCCTGGAAAGCCCCCTCCCCCCAAAAAAACCCTTTGGAACCCTCCGGCGAGACACCTCCGCCCGGGGGTCCATGCACCCTGCCTCGAGACGCTCCCGGAGCCGTGGCCACGGGGAGGCCCCTGGGGGAGCGAGCGAGCGAGGGAGCCGCCAATGCGGAATATCCTCTGGGCTCATCTAAGGCTGGGCGGACGAGGCCGTGGCCTATACAGCTATAAGTATATATATATGCATACATCTACAAAAAAACATGTATATATAGATAGATACACAAACGTATGTACACCTGTATACATATGAATACACACACGCACAGTTTAAATTGAACCAGTTAGCTATACACATACATACATATACACCTATATATATATAGACATATACCGATATACTTCACTGCATAACTATGTTTATGCGTATACCACGATACCCGCAGGATGTCTCAAGCACTGATTAACTGCCTGCGCCCTCGCGCTGGGATAGAACGGCTGGGGGGGTAGCATAGCCGCATCAACTATACAATGTTGCGCTTACGGCCCAAGGGCCTCTTGGAGGCAATGTTGAAGCCTCTTAGGGGCCGTTTGGGGGCCTCTTGGGGCATCTTGTTAGGCCTCTTGGGGGCCTCGTGGGGCCTCCAGGGGTGCTCTTGGGCTCCCTTGGGGGCCTCTTGGGGCCTCCTGGGGGCCTCTTGGGGCGGAAGGCTCGAATTGTCGCTTTGTGCTCCCCCTCTTAGGCCACTCTTGGGGCTGTCTTGGGATCCTCTTGGGCGATCTTGGACGCCTCTTGGGCCGTCTTGGTGCCCGCTTGGACCGTCTCATGGCCCTCTTGGGGGCCTCTTCCGTCTGGGGGCTGTTTGGAGGGCCTCTGGGGCCATCTTGGAGCGTCGGAGGCCCAAAAACGCGAGAACGCGAAACACATCGAAATACACAAGGGAGATCAATGATGGTTGCTTCTTTGGGCCCTCGTGGGGGTCCTCTTGGAGCGCTCTTGGGGCTTCTTTGGGGCCTCTTGGGCCGTCTTGGGGCATCTTGGGCGCCTTGGAGCGTCCTCGGGCTGCCTGGAGGCCTCGTGAACCCTCTTGGGCGTGTTCTGTGGCCCGCTTGGCCCGTCTTAGGGCCCTCTGGCCTCTGGGAAAAGCATGTGGGGCAGCCCAGGCGCGTGCGGGAGCGCCCAGGAAAATTGAGATGGTTGGGGCACCAGCCTTTAGAATATCATAGCCCCAGAGATCTGAACACAGAGAAGAACAACGAACCTTTGAGGACCCGAGGACGCCCCGCTCAGTGCCTCGAGGCACGGTGGCGGGCTCATGTACAGAAATAGATTGCACAAACGCATGCGTGTATCCATACATACATACAGACATACATACCTACCTACCTACCTGCCTACCTACCTACATGCAGACATACCTACATACACATACATACGTACATGCACACATACATACACAGGGATACCTACATACAGACAAACTGACGCGTGTTGGTAGCATGCATGTGTGCATACTGCTGCGCGAGATCCAGAGGGCGGGACAGCACCGAGAGGAGTGCGCACGCCGCCGAGGCCTAGCAACTCGCTGAAGTCGTCCACGCACTCCTCCGCGACGATGGCCCGCTGCGCGGAGTGCTCGCGGGCCTCGCGGCGGCGCGGGTCATCGGTGAGGGGGCGCCCCTCGCCATCGCAGCTGCTCTCCGCGCCGACGAAGTCGCTGTGGTCTTCCTCGTCCATGGGGCGGCCAGGCGCAGAGCGATGACTCGAGCCCTGAGCGGCTGTGGAGGACCACCACAAGCCATTCAGCATGGCGAGGGCGCGCGAGAGAACACAGTGAAGCAGTATCTGGGCGTCAGGCTGCGTCGAGGACGCACCTCGGACTCGGCCAGGTACCGCAAACCAGTCGCGGACCAGCTGTGGATGATGACGGTGGCGATGACACTGACGATGAAGATGCCGATGACGATGACGATGGTGGTGGTGTTGGTGCTGATGCTGCTGATGATGGTGCTGCTGATGCTGGAAAGTATGGTGCTGAGGTTGATGATGTTGATGATGGTGATGACGATGTGGATGCTGACGACGATTATGTGAATGATGAGAATGATCATGATGATGGGGATGGTGATGGTGATGGTTAATATGATGATGATGGTGGTGATGCTGCTGATGATGCTGATGATAGTGGTGATACCGCATGTGGTGAAAAGGACGATGATCCTGAAGATGTCTATGGAGATGAGACGCCTGATGTTGATAACGATACTAGCGAAGATAACTATGATTACGATGATGAGGAGGATGGTGATGATGGCGGCCGTGGTGGTATGATGATGGTCACGATGATGGTGACAACGAGGACGCTGGTGACTCATGATGATGATGTAGAGCAGGCATGACTGATTGTGTAAGTGACTGCGTAGCTGACGCGAGAGTCACCGAGGCGACCGCAGCGGCAAGACGGCAGAACTGGCGGCTAGCGTAAGGACCCAAGTGCAGCAGCGACAGCAGCACCCATGCCTACATCCATTGTCCTTCTCTTCCCTGTCGCATCCCCAAACGTGCCTGTGGGGTGAGCCTCGCGTTTCGCCTGGGCCACACGTGATGGGAGTGACCTCGTCGCAGCGCCCCTTAACAACCATTTAGCAGCGAAACAATTGAAGTTGTGATTTCAGCTCCCCGCGCCATTGCAGTAACAGCTGACACGCCTCTGCAGAGTCGTTCGTTCGTTCGTTATTCTCCTCCTCCTCCTCCTCCTCCTCCTCTTCCTCCTCCTGCTCCTCCTCTCATCTCCTCCTCCCTTCATCTTCCCCTCCTTCCCCCCCTCCCCCTTTTTGTCCTTGCCGCCGTGGTCGTTCTCCTCCTTCTCCTCCTGCTGCCTTGCGCCGCGAACATTCGATTTCAAGCTTACAAAAGCTTCCAGCCTTGAGGACGGGTCGCTTTCAAAGAAAGGGTTCCTTAGACTCCTTGTGGCTGCTAAAGACGCTTGTCATTGCAGGTGCATGCAAAAGATATTGGGCTTACCTCATTCTTACTGTTCGAGAGCTTCGAATGCTGCTGTGCTGACTCGTGCCAGATCCATAACATTTCTGCAGCATTCGATGATCGCCAAGGCAAGCTATATAGAACAATTGCTTTGCAAGCAGACGACTCCGTGGTGAAGTGGGTGGTGTGCAAAGCTGATGGCACGTCCCAAGGATTGGGCTTTCCGCCGGCACAGGGGGAGACCCGGGCAGCAATGGGCGCAACACGCACACAAGCTTGATCCTGTGAGTAAAACTTGCTGTGCACACATTTTCTCCTTGCCTCTCCTCACTCTCCTCCTGGAGGCGCCAGCTGCGGCTCCGGCAACGTTTTATTTGCACATTCTGCCCACGCTTCCTTCACGGATGCACGGCTTTCTTGTCTTGTGCTGCGCCCCCGAACAGGGAATTGTGGCAACGTTGGCGCATGCCCTAAGCAAACGCAGCACTATCATACAGAGCCCGCGCTCAACTAGAGCATCACGAACCCGCCAGCGAAGACGTTTACAAATTCGCCTGGGCTGAGACACGTATTTACAGGTGGGGCCTGCTTGGGGGGCAGGCCCCTGGAGAAGCGCGCGCTTGCTGACTGCAGGGGCTAGGGATGGCGCGCGGGGCGGCCAGGAGCTGCGCAAGCGGCTGCCCGAGCGTTCGGCGGGAGCCCACCCGCACTGCCCCGAGGACCGCGAGAAGCTTGAGGACCGCGCCGCCAGAAGGCGCCCTGGCACGAGCGCACCCGGCGGCACGAGCCGACCTTCGAGGCGCCGCCGAGCTGCCGCCGGACTGCGCCGGCCCTGGCCCTGGGGCCGGCGCACGGCGGCCCACGGCGCCAACGATCTGTGGCTCCAGATGCTGGCCGCCTGGAACGCGGCGGGTGCCGCCGGCGACCGAGACCTAGAGAGCCAATCTGGGCAAGGGGTTGCACCGAGAACAGATTCTGGCACACCCGCAGAATCATCCCCCTCCCATTGGTGAGACATGTAAAAAACAACAAAAAACAAGGGGCCGCCTGGAACGCAGCGGGTTCCGCCGGCGACCGAGACCTAGAAAGTTAATATGGGCAAGGAGCTGCACCACGAACGAGGATCTGGGCAAGGCCCTGGATCAGCAAAACGGCACTTGCGTTGGTTGAACGAGGAGCGCTCTCTCGGTGTATCTGCATATCTACATCTATATGTATATGTATAAACATGAACATGTACACATGCATACTTATATATATACAGGTTGTCTATACACCGCTCCATGCACATGATCTCTATATATATATAGATATACATAGATACATACATGCACATAAGACACGTGTTATAGCAAGAGAAGTGTATAATATATAGAGAGAGAGTGACTGCGAGTATGGCAGATTGCTCTGCAGCTCGGCAGCGGGAACTTGTGAAGCCCTCCGCCAGAGCGTGCGCCACGTGTCGCTATGTCACATCCATCCCCAAAGCACTGGCACCACACCAAAAACAAAGCCATTTATCTTGACAACTTCCTCCGAATTCGCAGGCACGTGCAACGATGACTATCCTGCTACTCAGGAGCGAAGAGGAGAAACCACAACCGCTGGCTGAGGAAACCGCCCGTGGCGCACTCCCAGGGACGACCCCGAGCCCCCAGCGGTGATGACCTGCACGCGGCGCCTCTTTCCGAATGACGCCAGCTGTACCTCTTCGCCCATGAATGTCACTCCAGCGTCGCCAGAGCCTGGATCTGTCTCTCCAGTCGGCGAATTCAAGCGGAGAGCAGGAAGGTGCAGTGCGGGGGGCAGCTTTGGCGCAAGACGCGCCACGGTGTGTGTGTGTGTGCGAGTTGTGTGTGTGTGCTGTGTGTGTGTTGTGTGTGTGCTGTGTGTAGTGTGTGTGTGTGTGTGTGCGTGTGTGTGTGTGGGCGTGTGCGTGTGCGTGTGCGTGTGCGTGTGCGTGTGCGTGCGCGTGCGTGCGTGCGTGCGTGTGTGTGTGTGCGTGTGTGTGTGTGTGCGTGTGTGTGGGTGTGTGCGTGTGTGCGTGTGTGCGTGTGTGTGCTGTGTGTGCGTGCGTGCGTGTGTGTGTGTGTTTGTGCGTGTGTTGTGTGTGTGTGCGTGTGCGTGCGTGGAGCGACGCCGGCGCACAGATCGCCAACACAGCACGCGCCCGCCCGCTGCCCTCCACGCCACGGCCACCGCGGTGAAGTCCCAGGCGAGGTCAGGCCCTCGTGATCACCACCTGGCGGCTTCTGCAACCCTGAACAGAAGACTGCTACACATCTCTTAGGGGCGCATCTTGAGTTTCCGCCGTCCTTCCGGCCTTCCGCGGCCTTCCGCGGCCGTCCGCGGCCTTCTGCCGAGAAAGAGATGGCAACTTCTCGATCGCTCGAAGGCGAAGCCATTTCCGGAACGCCTCGCCTCTGGCTGCGTGGCCTCGGGCGGGGCCTGCGGCGGGGCTGCCGCCGCGCCCTCGGCCGCCCCGCCGCGCCTCTGCGGGCAGCGCGGCGGCCTGCGCCCCTCGCCGGCGCCCGCGGCCCGCGGGCGGTGGCCGGCCGCAGCGCCGCCCCGCCCCGCCGCGCGCCCGCGGCGCCCCGCCCAGGCCGCGCGAGGGGCTGCTCGCGCGCGTGCTGGCCGCCTGCCGCGCGGCCCTCTGCGCGGCGCGCCCGCGAGGGCTCCAGGCCGAGGCTGCAGCCGTCCAGGGGGCACACCTGGGAGAAGAAGGAGGGGAAGAGAAGCGCCACAGACATGATGAACTGTTGGTGGACCTCTTGGACCTGCGCTGGACCCCCCTCCCTGGCGCGCGGAGCGTGCCAGGGGCGGCGCCGCAGGGGCCCAGCGCGGATCCAAGGAATCCGCGCGGAGCGCCCACAGTTTGTGCCTCTTGCGTTGCTTGCTCCGTCGACCGCCGCGAGCGCGGCCTGCCCAAAAGTGGCCGTGGCCGCCTCGCGCCCGGGCGCCGCGGCGGGGTGCCGCGGCGGGGCCGTCGGGGTCGACGGCGCGCGCTGCTGCGGGGGCGCCAAGGGCAGCGGCGCCGTCCCCGCGGCGGGCCCGGGGAAGGGGAACGCGGGCACGTCGGGCAGCTTCGGGGGCCCGTCCTGCGGGGAGGCGGCCCTCCGGCGGGGCGGCGAGGGGGCGGCCTGGTGCTGGGAGGCCGCCGGGGCCACGCTGGCCGGAGGTGTGGGCGAGGGATCCGCGGCCGTCCGGGCCGCTGCAGCGGGCTCGGCGGCCGCCGCAGGCGCAGAGGGGGCGCGAGGGCCGGCCGTCGTCATGGAGCTGATCTGTGCGCCGAGCGCCTGGAGCCGCCCCGTCAAGAACAGCAGGACCTGTTTTTCTGGCAAGCAGCAAGAGGCAACCAGAGAGCAAGGGAGGAGATCAGGCCGCAGCCCGCGGGGGGAGGCAGCTACAGTGTCCACAACTTGGCAAAGACAACACAGTAAGAGGAGGAGGAAGAGGAGGAGGAGCAGAAGACGAAGAGAGGGACAAGGCGGCGCAAGACCTTCTTCAGCTGATCGTTCTCCGCCTCCAGCCGGGCCTGCGCCTCGCGGCAGAGGGCCACCTCTTCGGAGAGCACGGCGGTCGCCTCCTTCACCCTCCTGCTCATCTGGCGCGCCGCCCTGGTGCCCCACACCCTCAGGTCGTGCACCCTGGCGTCGACGTGGCGCTCGATCAGGGCCTTGAACGTCTCGACGAACTCGGAGAACTGGCCGCGCCGGACCACCAGCACGAGCACCGCGCTCTGCCTGCACTGCTCGAGCAGCCGGCTCGCGTCGCCGCGGACGCCGTTCGCCTCCA